TATTGACAGTTTTTCCGAATGAATTGTATCGATCACCGATGACTGATGTTGACATTTTAAGGAAACCTTTTTTTTTTTTCCTTTAAGGGAAGAGGAAACCGCATAGTCACATAATAATCACTCAGGCATAATCGCCTACTTGAATCTCTCCTGATTCGGGGGATAATATTTTAAATGAAGAAACTATTAATAGTTATAAATCAAATACACTTTCTAATCGCACTTTTTTCTTGCCGCCACCGCTTCACAGTTGCTAAATCACCTGAGTTCTGTCTTTATTTTGCTGCCTGTTAGCGTCTGTGTCACTTTTGGAGCTATTCAAGAGTTAGCTAGCATTTCGAGTTCCTTCTCTATTAGGGACACCTCCCTCCCCTATTAAAAATGTAGCTTCACAAAGAATGTTTACGTGTTTGTGATAGAAAGATTTTTTTTTTTTTATTATTGGCTTGTTTTTTAATTAATCAGTCACGTTGGTGGCTAATTCTACAGCCTACTGCAGGCCATCTAAATAGAGCATAGCATATATGCCACCAGTGCCGTTGTGCGGAGAGCAAAGACAATTAATCATTCAGTGCCACATAGCACACAGCGAGGTGTTCCGTGGTCCTCTAAATGGGGGTAAATAACCCCAGCACTCACTATGCGGGGAGACATTTCGTCAAACAAATATGATCAAAACAAAACTAATGACGTGTAAATTGTTTATGGTGTCTGAATGAGCTGGCACAGCACAATGTCTGGGTGTAATCAGAGACACGACAGTGGCATAATCAAGAGGAGATGAATATGAGTGCACTCTGACACTCGCCGCTGTGTGTCAGAGGGGTTCAAAGGTGTGCAACATGTGCGTTTTGTCTGGCAGCAGGGAGACGTGTGATTTCTGCCGTTTGCGCTCGGTATTTGAGGAGTGAACGACAGATGTGAGAACTGCTCCTTTAACTCTCGGTAGAGCAATCGGAGAAGTAGTTCACGAAAATAATCATCATCGTTTTTACACTGTGAAAAGACAGGGAGCGCTCGACTGCCGCGGTGGCGGTTAAAAAAGCAGACTTGAGTCCGGAAGGTCTGAGGTTCGAGTCCACCAGCTGCGAAGTTACCACCGAGGTGCGCTAAGCATGGCACCGTCCCCGCGCTTAAGCTGCCCACTGTTCACTTTGGTGATGAGTTAAAATCAAAGGTCACATTCACACGTTGTGTGAGCTGTGTCACAATGACAAGTGGTTCAGTTTCACTTTCACTTCACTTCCATCGGAATTCCAATTCCAGCGCAACGAAACACAATTTTCGCTCTAAGTGAGAACTCACATAATGATCATAAGTACCGGTGTCACTCAGCTATCGTAATATAGGACATTAAAACATCAGAATAGTCTGACTTACTTTTGGGAGCCATAACGAAGGGCAAAAGTTCCCCCCCCCAAAAAAAATGTAGCGCAAGCTAATGTATGGCATACAACCAGCCGTTACGTAAACAAAGCCATCCATTGGCCAACTAGTTATATATATATATATAATTAATTAATATTAACTACATGGCCTTAATTTATTTTTCTCTCCAGCAACAGAGCTGACGAGGGGTTAGGGAAACAACTGGTCAGAGCAGATAAGCTACCGTTTATAAGCAAAGCTGCTGCAGCAACACACATTTGCACAAAAACGCACGCTTACATGTTCACACTTATTTGTTTGAAATACACTTTTAAGGACACCAGAAACCCTCAAGTGCAAATACAAAAGTTTAAAATAAGTTCAAAATTGAATAAATTAAAATTAAAGACAAATTGAATTTGTTTTGCTGGTTGTTTGATGGCAATTTTCCTCTTGGTATATTTTTTTCGCTACAAAATCGATGAATATAAAACATTCTTATTCAGTCAGTGGTCCACAAAGTGGTTCTCTCATATTTCCATTAGAATAGGTAGCATATAAACACATTGATGTCCTGTTCGACTCAGGTATATATATGTGTGTGTATGTATATATACATATACATACATAAAAACATATATTTCTATATATATTTATATATGTGTAAATCTATTTTTTTGGTATACATACTTATATACATGTGTATGCACATAGAGACCTAAAGTTAATTTCATATAACCTTGAACGACCTTGAGAGAAATTCCAATCAGGTGCAAAGTAATTAGGCTCACCCTGTACGTTTTTGTGAGCGTCCTCGCGACAGTGAAATTTCCCCCAGAATTGTGGCTATTCAATTTTGCTGACTGTTTGTTTATGTTATGAGGCCAGAGAGAAAGAGAGGAGAGGGAAGTGATAAGGGAGAAAAAGTAGAGCTTGCAATGTGCAGTAAGGAGCTCGGAGACATCCATAAACTGGAAGAAGTACTGCACTGTCGGAATATGACAGCCAATCCATCAGAGAAATGGAGGCTGTGTATAAAGTGCCAAGGAGAGGAGCCGGCAAGTTTTATAAATAGTTGCACCTTTAAAAGGAAATAGGGAGTTGTCATGCACATGCCATCTGCATCTTTTCTGAATAACTAAAGTTGAGGGACTCTTTTGAACACGTCATTATATACAAAGTGGTAGAGCTGAAAGCCTGTCGGGTTCAGATTGGATTTCAGTTGGCAGTCTACTCACAGCTCTGTAACACGGTGTCAAGATGCCATGGCTATCAACCTTGCACAGCTATGTGTGTGTGTGTGTGTGTGTCCCTTGCACAGCTATGTATGTGTGTGTGTGTGTGTGTGTGTTTTGTAAAGTCAAAAGTCAGTAATTATCTTATTTAAATATCGACTATTCTAAGCCAGTGCTCACAATTTAGGGTTCATGATTACAACTTACCTCCAGATTAGTGGTTATTGTTAGTGGTTAAAATGACTGGCACATGTTGCCAATGTGCTTTCATACCAAAATATTACATATTATATTATATTATTGGGTGTATTTGCTGCAAGTACCCTTATACTGCAATCTTTACTATGAGACGGGGTTTCCAAAAGTAAGGGGCGCGACCCATAGAGGGGCATGGACGGAAGGAATGAATGTAACGTAATGCAGCATATTGTTCAAAAATCTTCAACAACCTTTTTATGCACATATATATATAAATATATATATACATATATAAAAAATAAAAGCATGATTAATAGGTATTTTGAATGTTAAAAAGAACCTGTTACACTGTTAAGGTGCGTAAAAACTGTTACATTTAAATTGTGTGACATACATTTGAAACTGAAAACAAAATATGTGTGTTTTTTTTAGCTTTTTAAGGCATTGAGATAAGCTGCCTATGATGAATCTGCTTCAGTTATTCCTCTGAAATCGCATTGTCCCTGCATTATATCTTCTAATTTCCTCTAAATAGGATCACGATTTATAAAAATAACATTGACGTTTAACCAGTTCTAAAGTACTGAAAAAATGTAATTAGGTAAAATCTATCTTTTCTTTGCTCAAATTCAACTCAAGTAAAAGTAATATTACCCATCTTAAAAATTTACTTTAAGTAAAAGTTACTTAGTTACTTTAAATTACTTACAAAAAGGGACAAGTGATACATTCAATCTGCAACTACTTGTTTTTAATCAGTGGCAGAAGTTGAGAATTCTGTGATCCATTTGAAAATGAATCTGCTTCAGTTATGCCAGAATTCTATGATCCATTTGAACACTTATACTGCAAATTCAAGCCACTAGAGCACACTTTAGTCTTGACAGTGACAGCTCTGTCCTCCGGGCGCAGGCGCATTTTGCATTGCATGATAAAGTTATTGCCTTATTTGCATTTGAAAACAAAGAGCTGGCTGAGATATGGCCAAGGATTTCCTTCTTTTTCTGCTCCACAAGAGCTCTCTAGTTGGCAATCCTCGACTTCCTTTTGTTGTTCGGCATCATCCAACGACAGGCTGGAGTCTCTCTCTTAGTCAAAGTTATGTGGACTCACTGTAAAAGATTGGGAGTGTTGGTTTTAGGTATAAGCATGAGGAATATTTTTCTCCAGACCAAGTTGAATTTAGATAAGGTGGCGCTGCAAGAAAGTCAGATAAGACCTGTGGAAGGACCTGAAGTTGTGCTGTACATGGAATGGACATCGTTTGTATTGCGGTGTCAATGGAGCACTGATACGACGGGTTACTAACCTTTGAAGCATTAAGGTCTTATGTAGGAGGCTGTCCATTGGCTAGAAGAAGTTGCATGGTTGACATTCGGTTTAATGGAAAGAGCTGCAGTTTTCCAAACAGTGACTCTAGAGTATTTGTATTTTGCTTCTGCACAACCTGGTTGCAGGTATCTACGTATATGGACTTAAAATTAGCAACTGCTGACAATGATGAACTGTGAAGTGACCCAGGTTTGGCATGTTCCTGCAGTGAAGTGGCAACTTGTTTTGGCTACTGTGAGCTCTCAAAAAAAAAATAAACAAGGATAATTGCTAATAAGCCTAAGAGATACTTACCTTGAAGTGATCCAAGATCCAAACCACAAGTAAACACATGATTTTAAACAGTTTTGCATTTTTATTAATATTTAATGAAAATAATGTTGCTGAAGGAAATGTATTTGTGGCTGTTCTACTCTGCCAGCGTTCATATTGGAGAAATGTTTGTACCTGGAGAAAACCAACACACCCTCAGGAAAAAAAAGAAAAGATCCCTGGAAAAAGAACAGACATGCTGTGCCGAGTTTGGCATGAATGTCACGAAAGTTATGTACAAACCTTTCGAAATTAAGCATTTTTTTAGTCGTTGAAAAGTAGAAGAATTGAAAATAATTTCTCTCAACGGTTCATGTCTTCTGAAATATTGGATTTTAAAACGACATCCACCCATCCTGCCCACAATAAAAAGTGTTAGGATAAAATTACACTATTATTTACTTATTACATTGCTTCTAGTACAAACATTATTAGCATATATATATTGTAAAGTACGTGGAAACCGTGTAAAAATTGTGTAAAAATTGATACTGTTTTTACAGGATTTGGTGATAGAGTTTGTAGGGGTTTAGTCACAACGCGTGTTCCTGCTTCCATGGCAACCACATTCAGGCGCTTTTTCTGTGACGTCACAGGTCCTGTGTCCGACATTGTCCACACAAACTGCTGCAGAAACGACTCTGACATTGCCTCTTGTTTAACCAAACCGCGAAGTGAGTGCTTTATTTTTTTACCCAACTCTCATTCTCTCACACACGTGCATATGTGACGTCCAGTTTCTCTGCGAGCCGTTTAAAAGCAATGTTTGTTATAACCAGCTAATCAGCGGTTAGCCGTTTGAGCTAGAGATGCTAACGGCGTTAATACTGTTTTGTTGCACGGACAGTTAAACCTTTTTGATTCGGTATTGACTTTAAATAAAATATTGTTACATGGCCTGTTCGTGTCTCGTCTGTGGTGCATGTGAAGTGGACTCGTGAAGCGGGATAATGTCATAACCGAAGGCTAACGCTACAGCCAGGCTAGTCTCACTTTAGCACCCGTGGGCAGGAGGTGACGGTGCAATACAGCGACTGTATCCACGCAGAGCCACATTAATGTTCACTTTTGTAATAAATACGTTCATTTTCGATATGGAATGAAGTACATTGCCGCGCTTTATTGTAACATTTACAGTATGGTTGTACATTACCTGCCAACACATTGCTAACGCGTGGGAGTACGTTCATTTAAAGGGGCAAAAATCAGATGAAGCATTTTTGTTATTAAAAAAAAAAGTTCACTGGAGAAGAGACCTTAAGCCCCGTCACACATCTGGACAATACACTATATTACATTTAATTTAACATAAATGATGACTGGATGAAAACACTGCTAAAGTTGACGAATTTTTTTGATAGTATCACTGTAGGTGATATTGTTGTGGTGATGTTATGTTGTTTTTATGTTTCTTGTGTTCATGCACATTCCCCTACATCAAGGGTGTCAAATTCGAATTCACAGTGGGCCAAAATTAAAAACTGTGACGAAACTTAATATTTATTGAAAAAGTTATGGGAATTGTACATGTTTCCCCAACTCTCCAGATCTGTAATGTAGAATTTTTTGTTTTAGTTTTGCGTACAACATTGAATCTGGAACAACCAAAGCTTAATTTTATAAACACATGAGAAATTTAATTTGAAATAAAACACCACATCAGTGGTATTTGTTTCTTAAGATGTGTCTCTATCTGAAGACTTTCCAGTTCCTTTTTAATGTAAATCTTTTTTCCACAGGCCGACAGCAAAAAAAACCCAAAATGTATGTGCTATAACATAGCGCTTACACCACTAATACTACAAATTCTGCCAGTATATAGGGGCTATACAGTGGCGGTCCAACTCTAGTACATATTTGATATGATTTGCGGGCCAAATATAATTACACTGTGGGCCAGATATGGCCCCCCGGGCCTGAGCTTGACACTTGCCCTACATAGACTTCACAACTATCACTTTTATTGTTTGTTGTAGCTGTCGACTTTAACTCGTCGACCTTTGAAAATGATAAAATGCCACAGGACTTCTTCTTCTATTGGCTTTTTATTCGTCTCTGTACTTCACTTCCAGCAGAGAGAAAGTTTATTTTTAAAAAAGACACATGTTCAAATGATTGGTCTGACAAGTAAGAAAAGACCTCAGCTGCTTGAACCTGGAAGGTTTACTATTACCTTAATGTAATACCTTTATATCATTTTTGTTTTTCTTATTTTCAGTGGATCGCAGCTTAAAACGCCGGCAGGTGAAGCCACTTGCTGCCTCTCTCCTAGACGCCCTTGACTATGACAGCTCAGACGACAGTGACTTTGAAGTGGGAGATGCCTCAGGTAAGTTTGGTTTGCCGAGCTGCTTTTGAGGTTGTTATTACGAAGCATACTTAAGATAATGTCACTTGCTTTTTCGTTGATATTTTGACTTGGAACATTAATGTTTGACTCAAATTGGACTTGATGAAATGGTTCATTCCGGTACTCATGATTGGTGTTGGTCCGATATTGGTCAAAATTTCCAGATTAAACATCGTAAAAAAACAACTATAGCTCATCTAATCTGATACCTAAGCCGAAATGCTCAACTTAGATTTGCGCAACAAGCCATAAACAGGGACACCAGCACCTCAGCAACAGCAGCCTATAACATGCTGGAGAAGAAAAGAAGGTATCGGATTAATATTGGTATTAGCATATACTCCAAGTTGCAGTATTGGACATGAAAAAGTCGTATTGAGCCATCCCTAATTTTTACATCTCTTGGAGGCTGAGTGGATCGGGACATAATTATTAATGACTTAAAGCAAACCATTGCTAAACCGAGATTTACTTATGTTGTTTGTGACCCATTTATGAACAAAATGTGACTTTGTCTTGTGCCAGGATCAGAAGGTACAGGCAACGGCAGTGACGAGGAAGGCTCCAAAGTGAGTGCCGCAGGTTCAGAAAGTGACTCAGACCATGCTGCTTCCGCAGATGACGGCATAGACGAGGAAGAGGCCAAAGATTTAGCCGTCGAAGACAACTTAACAGAAGACGAGGAAAGGACGAAACAGCAGCCCTCGTCCGAGAGCCCGTCTAAAGACGACTCCTCCGGCACACCACCAAAAGGTCGACGCAAGAGCAGAAAAACTGCCGAGTCCGAGCCTCCCGCTCTTGCCGTTGAGTCTGCCTCTTCCACGTCAACTGTTGTAAACCCCGATGAGAATCAGGCGGAGACAAAGAAATGGAACTTCCGCAGGAATCGACCCTTGCTGGACTTCACAACCATGGAGGAGCTGAACGAGATGGACGATTACGACAGTGAAGACGATAATGACTGGAGACCCACGGGGAAGAAGAAAAACAAAGCGGCGACTCAGAAAGGGGGCACCGAGGAAGAGGAAGGGGGCAGTGCTAGTGAGGATGATGACGACGATGACGACGACGATGATGACGAAGAGGACGGGGACGATGATAATGATAAGGAAGATGGCGATGATGGAGGACGGGGACGGTGATAATGATAAGGAAGATGGCGATGATAACAACAGTAGCAGTGACAGTGAAAAAGAGGTGAAGAAGCATGTGAAAAAGGCAAAGACCACCAGTAACTTTGATGAAGAGCTGACCAATGACAGCATGTCCCAAGGAAAAGGCAACGAGGTGAGCACCGATCTTGGTTCTCAAGGGCATGATTGAAGGCTCAGACAAAATCGTCTGTTTATTGTTAGGGGGGGGATTACAAGTTGTACGTTTTCGGTGGTTCCTTTCACATTCTCTGTACCTCAATATCTTCACTTTCCATTTATTAATTTAGTCTGGTGTAGGAATATAAATTATTTAAAATAAAGAAATAAATAATGGTAGACTATGGGAATGGAGAAGCACCGAACATACTCGCGTATAAGTCCATTCGCGTATAAGCCGACCCCTGAAAATTGATCCCAAAACGATGATTTTTGCAAAAACGCGCACATAAGCCGACCATAATGTTTTCATGTCTTACTCCTGCTGTGTGCATCAACAACCTCTTCCTTCCCAACACTGTTTACGTTAAAATTGAGAAGATTTCGCAATCATCGATCGCGCAGCAGAATCACTATGTGTTTCGCAACTATGTCAGAGTTGTATTTAAAACATGAATACGCTTGCTAAAGAAACCTCCGCTGTAGCGTGCGGATATATGTTCGATTTGGTGTTTATTATCGGTGATGATTCGATCCATGGAAAATTCTGTCCCAAATATTTATGCGCATATAAGACCCTCCCCCTGATTTCATCTTTATTTTTTGGGTGTTTTAAATTTGGCTTATATGCGAGTATGTACGGCAGATCTCAAGGTGTAAAACAACTTCTTATTATTATTATCTTTATGCCAACATTTTTGGTGTTTATTATCGGTGATGATTCGATCCATGGAAAATTCTGTCCCAAATATTTATGCGCATATAAGCCGACCTCCCGATTTCATCTTTAATTTTGAGTGTTTTAAATTTGGCTTATATGCGAGTACGTACGGCACATCTCAAGGTGTAAAACAACTTATTATTATTATTATTATCTTTATGCCAACATTTTTCATACGTGGCCAGTACACTTCTTGTATAGCCTGTAACCTGTCTGTCTCAATGATGAGATCACAAAAGTTCGGTAACTGATGAGGAGTTTGTATCACTCGATTTCTCCTTCCCCAGGATGCCTTGCTGGACCGCTCTCAGAACTGGAGTACTCAGCACATCCTGATCTGCTGCGTCTGTCTGGGAGACAACAGTGAAGATGCTGATGAGATCATCCAGTGTGACAATTGTGGTGTGACGGTCCACGAAGGTAAGCTGCGGAGTCAATTTAAACGTAACCCTATATATTTTTTTTTTTACTTTTTGACTTCGAGAGACATTCAATGCTAGCGTATACAGCACGTTTTTAATATATGCCTACTAGTTGAACACTGTACTCTTTTGTCTCTCTAAAATGAGGGAAGAGAGTGCATGGAATGCATGAAGGGTAAAAACATTTTTAAGAAAATTCAATTTGCTGTAGTTATTCACAATACCGTATCGATATTCTACACCACTGTATCGATTTTTTTAAATCAACAATTAACCCAACATAGTTGCAATTAACCAATTAACCCAACAATTAACATGCAAATATTCATGGTATCGATTTTTTTAAATCAACAATTAACATGCAAATATTCATGGTGTTGGTTCATTTTCTTTTTTTTTTCTTCTGAAAACTGTGTATCCCTTTGTTCTAATTTTAGTAACCTGACGTTAAGCATGTAAAAGCGTTGTTTGTTTACAATGGTGACAGTTTTCCTACAGTTAAATTGTTCAATATATTGTTCAATATATTGCTTTGCTTATAGTATCGCAATATATCGCGATATATCGCATCGCTGCCCCTGTATCGTGATACGTGTCGCATTGCCAAATCCTCGACAATACACACCCCTAGTTATCTAATATGCAATATGCCTGAAATTCAACTTTTAAGCCCAGACGTGGGCAAACTTTTTGACTCGTGGGCCACAATTGTTCTAAAATTTGACAGGAGCAGATAGATGGAGCGTTTGTGAAATAAGATAAAAGCCAAAATGCTGAAATGCTTTTTTTCCCCACTATTTTCCATCTAATGGGGAAACATGGGTATTGCAGGGAAAAGGGGTTGATGATGATAATAAAAATAAATTATACAATTTGGGAAATTTTGGCGGGCCGGATTAGAAAGCTGAACGGGCCACATCCGGCCCCCGGGCCTTAGTTTGCCCATGCCTGAGTTGAGATGGAACGTTCGGGTGACCTAACATAAATGACATGTAAAAGTCGGGCCGTGTTTTTTTGCTGCCTAGCAACAACAGATTGCATTTAATAATGCTTTACCAGAACTGTATTCCTGTTGAAATTAGCGAGTATCATTTGTCCCTAACGAAACCAATATTTTTGTTTTTGCAGGCTGTTACGGCGTGGACGGCGAAAGCGACTCGATCATGAGCTCAGCCTCGGAGAACTCGACCGAGCCGTGGTTCTGTGATGCCTGTAAGAACGGCGTGACTCCCAGCTGTGAGCTTTGCCCGAACCAGGACGGCATCTTCAAAGAAACCGATGCCGGGAGGTGGGCTGCAGCTGCACAGTGATGCAGTGATTTGCTGTCCATAATGAGGGGCCAGCGAGTTAGAATGGGCCGTGCTTAGCAGTGCCTTCAAACGGTCTGGGCCACTGGCAGCTGAAATCTGTTTTAATTGTACATGTATGCAGTGCTCGGGAGCAAAGTAAGATGGAGAGAAAGTGGCAGAGGAAGGATGAGGGGGTAAAGAGGAGGAAAGGAGATAGTGGGGAGAAAAGGAGTAAGAGAAAAGACTGTGTTATGTGAAGCGTGGGGACTTCAGCCACGTTATCGCTGATAGTATTCCTCAGCCAGGCTGCACCCGAATTTACTACTTCACTAGAGCATGAAAAACACAGCAAATTAAACTGTGAAGCGGTTTGCTTGCCAGAGATGGATATCTATATATTGGACTCTGGATTCTTTTCCCTAAAGTCCGCATTTGAAATTGTGTCACAGCACACTGTAGTTAAGAGTCTGCAGCTACATAAATGTATGAATCCATTTGTCTTTTTGATGTGTCTGCGCAAGTCTATGCCGCAGATGTTTTTTACATTTTTTTTTTAGCCATATTAAGTTTAGAGTTTTTACAGAATTGCACTGCATTTATTTCAAAACTACTGATAGCAGGGACTAGATCCTGATTTCAAAATCTTTATTAAGAACTTGATTCAGGGGTTTTATTTGTCATTTGTCACACAGGGAAATATGGCCCATATATATATATATATATATATATCAACTTTTTGCCAAAATTTAATAAGTTCATATTGTCCAAACACTTAATTTCCGATTTTGATAACCGATATCGATATTCACTGTTACTTTTTTAAACTATTTTCATGTTGCACCACTAGGCCAGGGTGTGTCCACACTTTGTTTGCTTGGCAGCTACTTTTCAATAGACCACACCTTAGTGATCTACCTATATTGATAGTATACAATATATATATTTAGCCATGTGAGCTGAATATATTTTATATATACGTTGAATATAACATTCGCAGTATAACTTTATTGATTAAATAGCTGTAACTGTATGGCCCAATATAATTCAATAATTATGTTGTTGCTCATCTAGTGCTAGAGATATAATATATAAATCTTTATTTTTTATTTTAATTGCTCGATCTACCAGTACTGCTTTTTCTGCTGGTACTGGTATATATATTTATGTCTATATATATGTGTATATATCTATATATGTATATATATATGTGTGTATATCTATATATATATATATATATAGTCCTTGATGTAACTATTTTTGGATATGTATATAAATATATACAGTATATATATGTTTATATATACTTTAATGTCACCTTCTTTGTCTTTAAATTTTTATTCAATACAGTGTTCCCTCTCTATATTGCGGTTCTCCTTTGCTCCCTCAGTACATCGCAGATTTTTTTTTTTCAATCCGTTCCTGGGATTCTTGGAATCTTGGGTCTTGGAACGCACCTACCGTGATAGGAGAGGGAATACTGTATACCAGTAAAGACTGGCATTTTTATTGAGCATCATGTAGTAGCTCAAAATAACAATAAAATGTACATTGAATATTAGAATACATGAAAAAAACATTTTTAGGTTGGCGGGTTTCTTCAGTCAAAATAACATGTTAATTAGTTGAAGTTTTAACAAATTATTTATTCTTCTTTTTTTTCAGATGGGTTCATGTGGTCTGTGCACTTTATGTTCCTGGAGTAGCATTTGGAGACATTGATAAACTACGGCCAGTGACGCTCACCGAGATGAATTATTCAAAATACGGCGCAAAGGCAAGTACTCTTTCTACATACTGACGGTGGTCACTGATTTAGAGTTTATGTAAGGTTTTACTGCCAATTTGAACTGATTCCTGCATGTAGAGATGTCTTCTTGGACTATTGCATCTTGGCCTAATGTCCAGTTACACTCTGAGTATCTCTTTTTCTTTAGTTACAATTGCCGTACAATTATCGGATAGTGTTTAATCCACTCCACATATTATTGGGATTTCTACTTGTTGGGCAACTCTGATCTAGACAAAACCCAGAATGTGTGTATATATATAAATATATATATATACAAACACATATATATATACATATATACACATATACATACATATACACATATACATATATACATATATAGAAATATTTATATGTATATATATACACATATATATAAATATATATATTATATACACACACATACAGTATATGTATATAGTCTTCTCTAGGATAGTTACGAGTCCATCTTTTTTGTTGTCAGTTAAGTGAGAGGTAGCCTCATATCGTATGGGAAAATGAAGCCACTTCAATAAAGAGTAAAACCAGGTTCTTTCCAAGGAAACCGCATTTTTTGGGAAAACTGCTGCATGTTGATGCTGGATCGCTGACAAAACATGTACTTGTACAAGTCTGTGTGGGTTCTCCCGCATCCAAGTATTATTATTCTATTCATATAAGACATATGTGTCAAACTCAAGGCCCGTGGACCAAATGTGGCCTGTCAAAGTAATTTTGTGTGGCCTGTGGGAGCTTAAAAAGTGTGTAATTACCTGATGATAATAAAGTCCATGTTGCTGAGGTTCTTAACTTGATTATTTTTTATTACATTAATACATTATGGAGTAGTTATATCTGATATCACATGTCATTTAACATCAAGATAAATGACATGTAAAAGTCATGCATAAAGTCATGCAAAAAGTCAGAAGTATAATGATAATTTTTGGCGGCCCGAATTAAAAAGCCTAATGTGCCACATCCGGCCCTCGGTCCTTAGTTTACCCATGCCTGATCTATACAGTCTCACAGTTACAATCAGCCCTTCAACGGGAACTGTAATCCTGATGTGGCCCGACCCGATGAAAATGAGTTTGGCAGCCCTGTTCTGAGAAGTTCAGATAAGATTCTTGAAGATGTTTCACCTGTAATTCAAGAGGCTTCTTCATTTCTAACTAACCTCTCTCCCTGTGACAAATAGGAGTGCAGTTTTTGTGAGGACACTCGCTTTGCCAGGACGGGTGTGTGCATCAGCTGTGACGCCGGAATGTGTCGATCCTACTTCCATGTCACCTGTGCGCAGAGGGAGGGACTTCTGTCCGAGGCCGCAGCAGAGGAGGTATAGGCAGCAGCCCAGCTATTTAATGCTATTTTGTTATCGATGGCCTAATTTTTAACCCAGGTTAAAAATATCAGCAAGAGCAAATATCCGACCAAGTATCTCCCATAAGATGAATACAAATAAACAAACAAAAAAAAAAGCAGAAATCCCAGAAAATATAAATACAGTAACAATCATAAATAAAGCCCCGTCTTGTATGAACCATACCTTAAGTATGATGTTTACATTTTGAAAAATATTAAAATATATGTTATAATCAGTTATGCAATAATCAAATTAAACTTACCGTTTAGTTTCTCTCGCAAATAAACAAAAATTATGTTCTATCTAAGAGCTATTGGCCATGGAGAAAAAAAGAAAAGAAAAAAAATTGTAAAAAAAAACAAAAACAAACAGCAAGTGTTTTTTTACTATACTATTTTGATGTCATAGTGTAGCGGTTAGCATGCGTGCCTTGTAGGCAAAGAGCAGAAAGGTTTGATTCCCAGAGGAATGGCGCCCTTGTGTGGAGTTGCAACCATGTACTTAATGGCGCCCCCTGTGGCAGTCTGTGTCTGTCGCGAAAACTCACACTCACAAATAAGGGACTCCATTATTATTATTGTTATTATTATTATTATTATTATTACCTTAGTGTAGTGGTTCCTAAAGTGGGAGTGGGCCCCCTTGAGATGCATGGAGGTATTGCACAAGATGCACAGCTAGTCAAATTTAGTTAATTTTGTAATATATATTCTAAGTCTTTTTCAGTAGGAAAGAAATCATTGATTTGTAATTGTATTTCTTTTTTTTTATGTCAGAGTAAAAAAAAAAAAAGAGTTAGAGTGATTTGACTAAAGTAGGTTTAAATGTGTCGACGTGTTAGGAACTGGAAAATAGGCCACAAATGGTTCAGGAGCCACTGCTTTAGTGGAGCGCAGCCAAATTTCTCCAATTCATGTGAGTGACAAAGCTGGGTCCATTAAGTACCATTTTAGAAAATTAGATCTAAAGAGCCGTCCAAGACATTATTTAAATGCCAAAGGTGAAGAGTCCGCTTTTACACCGTCCACTTTTGGCCAGTGAGAAACTCAGGTGCCATTACATGTATTTGATTATCTTTAAATGTGTTCTTGAATTCTTACTTTTTTTTTTTTTTTTTTTTTGCTTCCCCCCCAGGATATTGCAGATCCATTTTTTGCATACTGCAAACAACATGCAGACCGTTTCGACAGGAAGTGGAAAAGGAAGAATTATCTGGCGCTGCAGTCCTACTGTAAGGTCTCCTTGCAAGAGCGAGAGAAGCAGCTTACTCCCGAAGCTCAGGTTAGACTGGTTTATATCAGCGACAGCAGACAAGGCTGACAACAACTTGACCGTTGTAACAACTGAAAGCATGTTTAGTCCTCACTGCAATCGCCCCAAAGTTACAGCCACTGAGGAAGGGAGTGTTACGTTTTACCGTAATTTCCAGACTATTGAGCGCACCTGAATAAAAGAATAATAAAATTTAAAAAATAATAAAAATAAAGAAAAAAATAATTCTACATATATAGGCCACACTTCTCTATAAGCCGCAGGCGTCTACATTGTAACGTGATATTTACACAGAAGAGACTTAGTGATCTGCTAACGTTAGCTCCGCGGCTAACTCCCTTTACTTTGTGCTTGTCCGCAGCATAGGTAAACAGAAACAGGGAAGTTGGGGTCTTTATTATCAGCCGCACCGAGCACCACAGAACATAAACTGCGTTTTAACAGCTCCTCTATAACCAACTCACTCTTCAACATGACAGGGCTCAAACTGCCCTCAACTTTCGCTACCGTTCTCTCTCTCGCCCGCGCCCCACGCACATATACGCACACAGCCATTCACAGACAGACATACGCTACTAGTATAACGCACAGTAGCCTACCAGAAAAGTCATTGATCGCTAGCGGCATTAGCCTCGTTAGCCCGTAAAAATCCATAAATTAGCAGCATCATTGTTAGTGATTAAAATTTGACGAATTTAAAAAAAGTTAACGTTTAAAAATTTTGAATATTCGTACTTCACAATATGGTGCCATTGCCAAAACCTTGCTGACGCCGCCTTACTTTTGACGATGTGGTGAAACTTGCATATTTCCGAAAGCATGCAGACCTTCTTATTCTTAACCCTGACTGCAAACAGTATAAATCTTGATTGATGGCTGTCCGGATTTCAAGAATTTAACACATTTTTCAAAAACATGTCAGAAATAACGTCTCAAGACGCAACCTTGAATTAAAAAATACCTAATTTGAAATTAAAGACTATTTTAATTTTTGCACACAGAAGGAAATACACCTTCCCCTTTCCAACTTCGAGACATTTTATTTTAGTGCCTTTACCTTTGTGAAAACACACTGAACAGACAGTGAAAAAAAAGACGAAGAAAAAAAAACTCATGAAAGTATTTTTCTCTCTTATGTGTTGACATGTCTTCAGCCTTTAAAATAAGACTTTTCCCTCAAAACCAAAACTGGGACTGCGAGTCGCAAGTGTCAGTCATATCAGTCGGGTCCGAGAGCAATTGAAAGAAATTGTCAGTCACAGCACTGACATTGACAGGTTTTGAAAATGCGTCCCGCAGCAAAACAATACTGCAAGCGTGGACAGTTGGACTTATTTGAATTTACTTGAAGACTTTTCTTCCTCTCTCATCAAAAATCATATACAGCCCGCTTTCTAGTGGAATAGTGTATACAGTGTTCCCTCTCTTTATCACGGTTCTCCTTTCGCTCCCTCAGTACATCGCAATTTATTTATTTTTTAATTCGTTACGTTAGAAGTTCCCTGCTATCGCGGTATTTTACGGTAATTTTTTTTTTTTTTTTTAAATTTCCAATATTTTCGTTATTTTCATGATAAGAAACGTTTTCTAACCTAATATTAAAAAAACTGCATTGCTGGTAGCTTTGTTTACGTACACAGCATCGGGCATGCTCCTCTGTTCCTTCACGCTGATTGGCTCATGCCTTGTCCCGGCTCCTACTAATATAATGAGAGGCTTGATTACTCCAATTGCGCTCACCTGCGGCCCGTGCTCTCCCTCCTTGCAGCTGAGCGCTAACCTCCGCTGCGTCACGTATTTAATTTATTTACATAATAAATTGCATATAATTGTGTAGTAAAGTAATACAGTCTAGGGAGGGTTGATAACAGTGTGGGGGAGGTTCGTAAAGGGTAAATATAAAGGTAAATAATATAATAATAAAATAATAATCTCGCCTATCTACTTTGCGGATTTTCCCTTTTCGCGGGAACGCAACTACCGCGATAGGAGAGGGACCATTGTAGTATGTATTTTCTAATCGGTACAAACCACTACATGAGTTGCTGCCACCTAGTGACTGGAGGCGTATTTATCGTTCAAAACATACCCTACCCGCCCCCTCACCCCGCCTGCCGAGCTATTCGAGAAGTACTGATTTTAAGGGGAACGTTTAACAGCAACGCAAAAAAGGGAAACATCACATTTACAATTTGTTCCAGTACTTGATTGAGTAATTTCCGGAGTCAGTTAATTAATCACGATTTCAATATTATCAAAACAACTGTGATTAGGATTTCCTCCCTAATTGTGCAGCCCTTCTGTAAATACTGCATCCCACTTCTGCGGTGAAACGCTGGCTGACTTCTGAACGTGCCAGTGGGCCAATAATTTAAGGCAATTAGACAACCGATAATTAGCACACAGAGGAGGAACAATGAAAATTAAAACTGAAATTAAATCAAAATGGCCATGTTTGTTATACTGCGTTGCAAAGTGACAATTGAGTTTCCCTATCATTATCTATCATCAAATGCCAGACATCTCAAGACGAACCGATTTGAATTCCTGGCGACCCCGTGTGGGGTCACGACCCAAGGGTTGCAAAATACTGATTATATCAACTGTGTTCCTTTCGAAGGCTCGGATCTCCACTCGCCTGCAGCAGTACAGGGCAAAAGCGGAATTGTCCAGGAACACCAGGCCACAGGCATGGGTGCCCCGGGAAAAACTGCCACGCCCGCTTACGTCGAGCGCTTCAGCCATTAGGAAACTCATGAGAAAGGCAGAGCTGATGGGCATAAGCACCGACATCTTCCCCGTAGACACGTCCGACACCAACGCCAGCATGGACGGACGAAGGAAACATAAGCAGCCTGCCCTCACAGCTGACTTTGTCAATTACTATCTAGGTGAGAAATACTTTCATCTTTTCCCACTGACAGTTATAGCACTTCTAAAGAACGGGCATTTTCACTTTGGTGTGTTGTGTTTGTGTTTTATTAGATATTGGGGAGGGGGAAAAAACAACAAACATTTTTGTACACTTCCACACACTGCACGATATGTGTAGGAGTTCGAAACAATTCAGAAAGCTATAAATAAGGAAGATGTTCTTCCAAAAGGTGACAAGTTATGATTCATGGATGTGGAAAGTGATGCAACAACCTTTCTTATAGCGAAAAATAAATTATTTGTTCGATAAAAAAAAAAAAAATAGGAAAAGCAGAAACACAAAACCAGATAAGCTCCCTACTATTTACGATTTAGCATTCTTATCGTTTTGGATTAAAATGAAATGATTGAATCAATGAAAATTAACAGCAAGTTTGTTAAGTTTTTTTTAAAAAAATACTTCAATCCTTACAAGAAAAATGTTAGGGATGCCTCGATCCGATACTCGGTATCTGTCCGATATTGGTCAAAATTTGACTCCGATCCATCCGATATGATACCTAAGCCCAAATGCTCAACTTAGCTTTGCGCGACAAGCTGTAAACGGTACACTGTCGCATTAGCAACGTCACCCGCGGCAAGATGGAGGAGAAAAGAAGGTATCAACTTGATATCAGAAAAGGCAGATGCAGATACTCTTGCAGTACCTCCCTTGTAGTATAAGTATCGGCATTGGACATGAAAAATTTGTAAATAAATAGGAGTGAAAAATCATCAAACATTCACGCGTCACACCATAAAGGCAGGTTGAACCCTGTCGTCCGTTTATTAGACACATCGATTATGTTGCGATCAACAGTGCAGGTAAATAATAAATTGAAACTTGAGTAACAGCGCAAGGTCACAAGTACTTTAATATTGGTACACGTATACCTAATACAACAATGTAAGCATTTTATTCCCCCAGTTTTTTTTACCAAGGTTCCTTCAGTCCTCCTTGCTTGTATTTTTCTCTCAACTTTGTATCAACTCTTATTATTATTTCTGCAAGATAATTCCGACCTCAATGTGTAGCTGGACAATACACTCTTGAATGTCTTTTTTTTTATATCTATATACAAGTAGATTTTGATCGCAGAATTGATTTTTGTCTTGTTGACATTCAGAGCGGAACATGCGAATGATCCAGATCCAGGACAACATCTCTGAACAGAAGAACTTGAAAGATAAGCTGGAGAGCGAGCAAGAAAAACTGCACGTGGAGTACAACAAGGTGAGTGCGCAGAATCCGTTTCTACCCTCTTTGTAAGCCAATGTGGTTTGAAGTAAAACATGGCATTATAAAAAAAATGAGTTACTTTTGTTAAGTTTTTTAATGACCGACATTTGGCATGGAGCTTGCTGCTAGTTTGTATGACCTAATAAACCTTTTGGCTTTGCAAGTTCTCAATGTAATAATGATAATAATGATATAATAATAATATTATATAACATAACAAAAAATATAATCAATCAAAACAGCTTGACAACCTAAAACATATTTGGCTTTTTTTTAAGTTTTACCTAGACAAAAAAAATATAAATAAAATAAATAATAAAAACCAAAAAAACATTTTTTTAACCAATTTTTTAATTCATAAAAATTGGCAACTTAATTGAAAGTCAACTTGAGTTAAAACTAAATACTTAAAATAAAATACTTATAAATTAAATGTACTATGGAACCACAAACATCCGCTACATTATGAAACCACAATAAAAAAATATCTTAGATAATAAACTTGCTAGAACAGGCATGGGCAAACTAACTTTTCCAAATTATATAATTTATTAATATTATCATTATACCTTGCCTCTCCCCTGCAATACCCACGTTCCCCCAATAGATGGCGTAGAAAATCATAAAATAATTTTAGCATTTTAGCCTTTATGCAAGACTTTTACATGTCATTTATCTGAGTTCACACGTACTCTCGCATCTATCTGCTCCTGACCCCCTGTTCAATTTGAGGACAATTGTGTCCCGCGGGTCAAAAAGTTTGCCCATGCCTGTGCTAGAACTATTATTTCGCTACCATACATGCAGTTATTATTAGCATCAGTTGTTCTTTAATGGCCGTTTTTGTGTTCCACCGAGAACCTTGGTATCATTGTCTTCCCCTCAAAGAAGACCTTTGTGCAAATGAATGCCTTTGCAAGTGTGTCTATAACTTACAGTATTTATCTGAATAGATCCCAGTACAAGGTTCACCCGTGTCAGACAGCCTGACTACTGCATATCATACGTAGCGTTGACATTAAGCGTGTATATTGACTGCAAAAGTGCTGTGCTTGCTGTTTGGCATTTCTAAGGCTTGTAAGGTTTAATGGCCCCCTTTATATTTATACTGAACTAAGACCATTCCCATTACTGTTCTACCCCTGTGACCATGACCCAATTAAATAGACATGGGCGTAGCATTTGATAAATCTCACACAAGCACAGCATGGTCCCTGTTTATTCATTTCTGCAGGACTGGATGGTTAATAAAGCAAGGGAAGCTAGGTGAGCTGATGTAAGCAGAAAAGGCAATCAAGATAAATGTGGAAAAAAAAACCTGTGGTCAATAATTCAAAGCATCTGCCAGAACAAAAACGTGTAACTAATTGTCTACAGACATGGTGGAACTAAAGGGGGAAAAAAAAACACGTAATGGTGATTTGTGACAAAAGAATAACAGCAAAAGTGAAAAAGAGTTTACAAGGTTACGTTGTACCTTACGTAATGATATTTGGTTTGAGTTGAAAATGTGGACCATCACGTGCCGACGTACGAAAAACATCACAGGGACAGCTGAGTTCAAGCATCTGGGTTCAAAGTTGGAATGTTGTACGATCCAGGGGGAGTGGTTGAGACTTGCTTTGTTCTTAAGGTTTTGTTCTGGAAATATTAATGCTGACATTAAGCCAGGGGGGGTTGAACTCATTTTCACCAGGGGGCCACATCAGCAATACAGTTCCACTTGAAGGGCCGGTTGTAACTGGAAGACTGTATAAATCAGTGGTCCCCAACTCCCCGGTGCGCGGACCAGTACGGGCCCATTGGTCATTTGGTACCAGGTTTGACACATATGCATTAAGCGATGCTCATTGGATAAACGTGACATTGCTAATAAAGCTGACTTTAGCAGAGGTAGCTGACGAGTTTACAGCTTGGAAAACCTTATGAAGTGTTAAGCTTGTGGGCTATAATATATACAGCGGGAGGTACTTATTGATAAACCAAGCGCCACCTAGTGGTTTGCGACACTTTGGGATGTTTATAATTACATTAGCAGGTAACATTAACAGCTATTTTGTCCCGTTTTTTTAAATTGAGTGGTAACAGTTAACTAGCAGTGCCGCTGCTCTATGTGCATAGCGGAAACCCTAGATGCTAGAGATGTCCGATATTATCGGACAAATATTAACATAATTAAGTAATATTGGTAAGAATTGTTATCGGCTTTTCCCTCCGATAATGAATAAGGAAGGAATCGCTTTAAAAATGTATTTTGTACAGAAAATGCTAATTTGGTGGGCCATCACAATAAAAGTAGGTAATGTGTTCCACGACAGGTGATATGTAATGAGACCAAAAAATAGTTTTAGGGAAAAGCGGCTGAGATTGGAATTGACGAAAAGCTAATACAGTGGAACCTCGATCTTGGAAATGAATTTGTTCTTGAAGGCTATTTGTAAACCGAAAAGCTTCGTTCAACATCTTAGAAACAATTTTCCCCATAGGAATCAATGAAAATTGGAGTAATCCATTACTGCACCACGAGGTTCTACTGTATGTCGAATATCGCAAATAATGGACATCCTTTACAGAATACCGCGAGAACAAAGTGTCATAACCAAGTTTTAAAGTCACTTTTAGAAACACTGAGATCTAAGCAGGTGAAACTATGCTGTTCTGGTCTATGTTCCTTCCCTCTTTTTTTTTTTTTCCTCTTTCCTCTCTGCAGCTCTGTGAGTCTCTGGAGGACCTGCTGAATGTGAATTCCGAGTTGCGTACTGACGGTCAGGCTATGTGGAATCTGATGGGAGGAATCCTGGGCCAGGTATTGGCAAATGTTAAATGATTAAATAAATCCCAAAAGTTCCAAGAGTTTCAAAAGGAAATGAAATAATACAATACATTTTTCTCAAAGAACAAAATACGTTCACATCTCAGACTTACGTAGCGATACCTGCTCTAAAATTCATGTTATTGATATTAGCTTATCCTAACAACAGTCTAAATAATTCGTAGTTTTTACCATCTTTGTTTAATCTACTTATAGTTTCCGAATTCTAATTGTTTTTAATTCATTGCCATTTTTGAACAAAGCAAATGTTTATGGTGGAGTTACAGATGGGAAAGTGTTTTTTTTTTTTACCAATTAAAAGAAGAATTCAGTGCTACCATTCATAGAAAGGTTAAAGGAAAATATAAACCTGCTGTGTGTTTATGAATACATTTTTAACCCTTGGTCGAGGCAAAAATGATCCCTGTTAGCCGTTGCTAACAGGTTACCAATGGCTCTTGCTCATCAATTTAAGGAAAGGAAAGGAAGGAAAGTGAACTCCTTGTCATTGTGACATGCTAAAAGGCTAAAATGCTGAATGACTTTTATCATTTTCTACGCAATCTACTGGAAAAATGTGGGTATTGCAGGGGAAAAGACAGAAGTATAATAATATAAATTAATTATATAATTCGGAAAAGGTTGGCGGGCCGGATTAAAAAGCTGAACGGGTCACATCCGGCCCCCGGGCCTTAGTTTGCCCATGCCTGATCTAGCTAGTGCAGTTGAAGGAAAGGAGGCCAGAGGAGAAACACTTGGTCTGGTATGACTTTTATTATTTTTGGAGGGGACTTAAAATATGCTTATTTCTCAAGCATTAAAATAACTACAGGAGGTCTTTTCCAGCTAAGCTGGCAGAATCGCATGAAGGTTTATGGTGGGGTGATAAATAAGAGCTGCAAGCAGGCATGGTCAGTGAGATTAAAGCTCGAAACTCTGCGGAGTGGAAGTTAGTGACTTATAGTAGTTTGAGCAGTACAAGTTGGTTTTGGTGTATAACTCTAACTCTGCCTCACTGTGCTGCGACAGTAGTTGGAGACAGAATTTGGCGGAGAAATACACTCAATACTTATTGGCATCAGTTTGCTTAGAATCGAATTGACCTAAAGAATCGAAATCAAATCGAATCGTGAGATTCCTAACAATACCCAGCCCGTGTGACAACGTCTAAATAAAGTAGCTTCATACTAAAGCCACCGCATGAGAGATTCAAATATATATATTTTAATTGCTCAGAACAAAACAAACATCTAAAAAGCCCATTAAAAGAATGGAGAGATGATTTTAGTACTTAGCAAAGCTACCAAGATGGACAGGAACAATCAGAAGGCTGGCAGTGAGTCTGCAATGACAGCCATAAATCACCACATTATGAGCATGCATGGTTTAAGTAGCACCATCAGTCAGAGCACAACCTGCCTTTGTGTCATCTATCTGCCACTTTTTAATCTTGCACTTATCATCCCGACTGGGCATTTGCAGAAATTATTGATGTCCCTAACTGATACTGTCATCTGTCTTCCGGTTTTGTTACTTGCTGCAGAAGTTTAGTAACTCTCGCAAAAAAAATCATCATATATATGTATATATATGTGTGTATATATGTATATGTATGTATATATATATATGTGTATGTATATGTATGTATATATGTGTGTATATTTATTTATTTATTTTTAATCAAACAGCTGCCAGGGACAGATGTGATGACAGAAGCTGTCATTTCTGCATACCCCCATATAGTATAAATCTTTTTCTCTTTTTTTTTTTTATATTGAACCGCAAAGCTTTTTCTACAGAAAGTCCTCACCTGGGCTCTGTGGCTGTCTCTAAGTGGCTCTGTGACAGAACTTTCATTTTTACACAACCACTATTTCTTAACCCTCCTTAATTCCCACAGTTTGTCTTTTTCTTTTTCTTTTATATAAATCTATCTGTTTCAAAATGGAAGGATTTTCATTAAGATCAGAGACCTCAGTTAAAATACCAGGATTGGAAATGCTAGTGTCATTGGTAAAGCACTAAATCAGAGGTATGCTTAGGCAGTGTGTCCCAAACTTTGGTCCGGGGACCCATATTTTAAAAGTCACAAACCTTCGCGACTCAAGTCTATAGACATAAATCTCGGGTTGCGACCCAGACGTTGGGAAACATTATGCTAAGGTGTCAAAAAAATTAATAGAGTACATTAATGAGCTCTTTTATTTGATTGTCTCTTTTGCTTAAACCTATCCAGGTTCCATCTTTCGAACGCCGTACGAAACTTCCTGTACTCATGATTCACGATATGATTCACAATTTTGTGTTCACAACACATTTTGTCACGATTTGACCAATTGACCAAATGCAATGATCCTTTATATGTAAGAACAATTTTTTGTGCATACCGCCACCTACTGTACTACGGTGTGAGGTCTCACAGTATGACTATGTCTTTTTAGATTCTTTTCTCTCAACCGATGCGAACTGTGACCCATTTGTATCAATTTTAAACCGATTCACGACGCCTCCCCCCCACTGTAAACCCAAGTACTGCCGACTTGAACAGTACAAAGTGCGACTTTCGCACACTTCATCTGAAGTTTTAAGTGTATCAGCTGACTCACGTCAGCAGTGTCGATAGGTTCGCCCGATTAAAAGTAACAGATTTTTGGATGAGGAGATAACTTCCAACAGTTATTTCTGATCTCGTAGTTGCGTTGCCTCATCTGTTACTGCAGGCAGCACGAAAGTGCTTTTAAAAGGGGGAAGAAAAAAAAAACCCAAAAAAAAACTCTCATCTGTTCAATGTCAGACTTGGTCTCTACAAGATAAGTTTTCTAATTAACCCTCGTGGCAGCAGTGCAGATACAAGCAGCTGTCTGCTGTTGCAGCCCACCTGCCACATACAACAGCACTTTTCTAAAAGAATATAAGACACAACTTTATTTTTCATTTCTTTTGCCGCATCCACTCACATTTCCGATCTTACATGGCCCCTATATTTTCACTGATACTCTGCTGGAGTTGTATTACTATCAGTTACTATCTGCGGTTCAACTGGAAATGTCCTAATTTAGAGGTGTCTTCACCGCTTAGATCGGGAATTGCTGATAGATCGTGAGCAATGAAATCATTTTGTGCCTTGTTGTGGAAATTTTTTCATATGTTCGTGGAAATATCCACCACAGCACCAACATATAATAAGTATATGTATATATATATTAGTATATATTTATAATAAGTATATACCGTATTTTCCGGACTACAGAGCGCACCTGAATATAAGCCGCACCCAAGTTAAAAAAAACAACAACTATATATTTACATATATAAGAAGTACCCAAAAACTAGTGTGTTCTTCTTTGTACTGACTTCCCCTGTCTCTCGTTCTTCCACTTCCTGCTAGATCGCCCCCTGGCGGCTGAAGAAAGATCCATAGAAAAGCCGCATCTTTGTATAAGCCGCATGGTTTCGAAGCGTGGGGGAAAAATTAGCGGCTTATAGTCCGGAAAATACGGTATTTAAAACGGCAACACAACAACAGTTCTCTCAGTCCGGGGGAAAAGACTGCTCCTCGAGAAGGGGGCATTCAGGTACCATAGGAAATACGAGGGGCACTCAGGTTATGCAATTAAACTTGTGCAAAATAAAGGTTTATTGAATTTGATAAGATATTTTTTTATTATTATATCAGTGCTTAATTTGGTCTTAAAATAATGTTTCACTTATCACAATAGCATCTTTCTTTGAAATGAGTGATTTCAGATTTTTTTTTTAATGCTGTCTGTGATATCAGTGCTGTGTTTGCTGTGAAGAGAGTCGATGTTATATCTAAAAATGTTTTACGAAAACGTTCGCTTTTGTTCTTTTCACCTTATTCATAGAAACTCAACACTCCAGCTGTTCTTAAAGCTCCAAAAGAGAGGAAGCCAAGCAAGAAAGAAGGAGGAACCCAGGGGAAGTCTTCCAGTCTGCCAGCCATCCTGTACAGGTCAATATAAAGTTTCTGGAAAGATGCTAGGAAATTAGGATTTTTGGCAGGATTCTAGCCACAGCTGAATAATCTAAAATCTAAAAAGATATCGAATGTGCCTCTAGGAATTTGTTCTTAATGTTTTCACTTGGTATTGAATCGTTGTTATATACCTGTGACTGAAGGTACATGCATTACTCCACACCTTATGACCAGCTGTCATTCACAGACTTAATTTCTTACAGTAGATTAGAATACTATTTCTCATTGCATAAGCTTCTAATCTAGTTAAGTAAAATAAATGTAATAATAAATATACAATAATTAACTTAAGGTAGATTTTTTTTATTTTTTTTATTACTTTTCTCAGTTTCATTATTTACTTGACTGGTTTGCTGTTTTGCCAGTGAGTTGTGCCTCACATTTATTCTGCAGTTTTACATAAAATAATTCAACACCGAGTGTACCATATTTTTTCGGAATAAAAGTCGCACAGGAGTATAAGTCGCACCGCTGCCCTCTAGCAGCTGTCAGTGTGAAAATAACGAACATGTAAATTTTCAGTGGTACAGGAGTAGCAGATACTGGTACTTAAGCCTAGAGTGCCCTCTAGTGGCTGTCAGTGTGAAAATAACGTAAAATTATATATTTTAATATTCAAGTCGCACATCAGTGTAAGTCGCAAACCCAGCCAATTGATGAAAATCAGTATAAGTCGCAAGCCCAGCCAAATGATGAAAAAAAAGTCTGACTTATAGGCCGGGAAAATACAGTAAGTGCAATTAAAAAAAAGAGGTGATCTGACAATTTCATACATCTCCTACTGATAGGTCAACATTTGTTGTCTGTCCAGAATAGTTCAATGTGGTTATGAGCAAGCTGCAATTTGACGTAATGTGTTTCTGCAGTTGTGGCATCTGTAAGAGAAACCAGGACCAACATCTGTTGGTGCTGTGTGACACCTGTAAGCTCTACTACCACCTAGGCTGCCTGGAGCCCCCACTGACACGCATGCCCAAGAAGACCAAGAACAGCTACTGGTGAGTGTAGCAGAAGCTCCATATTTGACAATTATAAAACGTATACCTAAAAATAATGTCTAAAATAATTCCTGTAATAAAATAATTGAGATCCAAAAAAAGTAACTCTATCAACAAGTAAAGTCATACCAAACAAGACGATTGTTAGCTTGCTGTGCAAATGTTAGCAAGACACTCCCGGTCATCACATTCTGTATATAATTAGGCCAAAGCCTTAGGACTCTGCAAGTTCTACTTCAAACCTAGCTTAAAATGTGCTTCTAGAAAAATAAATAAAACGTACAATTGCACTCATTCACCAATCTTACATTTTACCGGCTTTGTCCTTAAACAGGGGTTACAGTTCTTTATTTCCGACCGAGAAGATAATAAGCGGTAAATATTTGTTTTTGCTTTGGCAAACTGGGTGCTCAAACACAATTTGCATTACCTTAAATATGTGATGGTTCGTGCTGATGGAAGAACTTGAATTTTTTAAAATGCATTTTTTTCAGCCAATGCAGGGATTTTTTTTTTTTTTTTAAATCACTTTACTTGCACTTAGTTAAATTCTTAGGGTCAATACGGGTTTAAATTTCTACCTGACTAAACCTTACTCTATCTTTTTACTTGATATTAATGTATGTGAAATATATGTGTGTCAATGATTTGTACTGTGTAGTATTTTTTTTTAAGGAAGAGCAGCCATTTCGAAGTAGAAGTACAGGGAGAGGGAGAAAAAATTTTTTTTTTTTTCAAATTTATTCTGTTAGTATCGGATTCTGAATGGCCTGAACATCATCTATTATCATTATCTATAATGAAGAAATTAAAGGGATATAACTGGATTTTTTTTAATGAAGTAAATTAATAAAACTGTCTCCCACTGCGGCCCGGTACAAAATGACCTGGAGGTCGGCACTGGTCACAACCACGTGTATCAAAGGTTGCAGTGGTGGTAGAATTATTTCTAACTCTCCGTTCTTCTTTACCTTGAAACTCATCAATCACATTACCGGCTGAATCAGCTGATATTTTTTTTGGGTTGTTGTCATTGATTTGATTTAGATTGCAGATTGCATGTTTTCCTTAACTTTGCCACAGTCCCTAACATTAGAAAGCAGTCAGGATAAAGAGGTGGTTAACTAAGATTTTACCTCAGGGATTCCACTGAAAGCAGCTTTAAATGATTAAGCCTGTGATGATAAAATCAATTCAGTTCCTTAAGAGCAGCTTTCTTCCTTGTCCTTAGGCAGTGCTCCGAGTGTGACCAGGCCAGCAGTGATGAGGCTGATATTGCCATGGAAACGCTACCTGATGGTACCAAAAGGTCCAGGAGGCAGATCAAAGGTCCAATCAAATTCATACCGCAGGAAATGTCGCCGGAGCCGAAGAAACACCAAGTGAGAGGCACGGTGTGTATGAGAAGTGAAAATGTCAAATTAACGAGCAGAAACTAATTTCCTCGTGTACACCAGCGACTCAAACGTTGACTCAGAGCCCCTCAAACTGCAGTATAACACATTGTTATCTTTAAAAATGGCGGATAGATTTTTCTGCGTTCTCGCGTGTTTTCTGCGCTGATGATCTCTATCGACCGATATTATCGGTCTGATATTAGCACATTTTGTAATATCTGGAGGAAATGTTAGCATTTTTCCCTCCGATAATGAAAATCCGATAACGCGATGCCTGGGATTCGCAAAGTAATTGCCTGCACTAGAAATAGTGCATTCGCGAAGTAATTGCCTGCACTAGAAATAGTGCAATACCCCGGCAACAGACCAATCAGATGCCTCAGTTCTCTGAAGAACCTTTATTGAAACACAAGTGCAGTAACTCGTTCTAAATTCATTTATTGCTCTCAACCCAGCTTCTCCAAAAACATCTTTTCCTCCTCCAACATTCTCCGCATTCCCTCTTCCTCATACCCCTAACTGTTAACTCTTTCATAACACATGAACACAGGACATTATGAGCGCTAAATAAGCCTCTAGTCACTAGATGGCAGCATTGAAGTTTATTTTGTTAATCTTCATTGATAATCAGGGAATCAGGATTGATATCAGAAATTAAGCGTTTGGCCAATATCGGCATATCGGATATCGGCAAAAAGTTAATATCGGACATTGCTACCTATTTTTTAGGGAAGTTGCAATGGTCTTAATGCTGGTTTGAAAGTTATTGAATAAACAGTTACATACGCTGTCCTGGCAATATTTATCTCAGTTCGCATGAACGCTCCAGCTATCTGCTCCTGACCATCCAGGATCCGTATCATTATGTATACGATATGATTAACGTTGAAAGCAACGCGTATGGCGCGGCGCAGATCAAGTATGAAAAATAATTTACGGGGAAAAAAAAAAAAGGAAACCAGCAGGTCAGTTCTACCGAAGAGACAGCATCGAGTGGGAAATGAGGGAAATGCGCAACACTTGCTACACCTCCAACCTACTGACGTTATTACGTATTTGTGTACTAAAACAGATTTGATATTTCATTCAGAATTTTGTGGACATTTTTAAAAGTTAAAACCGAAAAAACCAAACACGCTGCTTACACTTGCCTTAATGTGTCGGTGCAGAAGGAGCAGCTCAGGGAACGAGGAATCACACATGGTCACACACCTGCAGCTCTGGATGTATTAAATCAGAAGGACTACACAGTGTTTCCCATTAATTTCTCATTAATTACAAATGACTACGATGGCCCATTTATTCTGACACTGTTCCGTAATGATCTCATTTCTTTTACACATCTCACAATAACGCACCGCGTTTCCGACATGGGGTTTGAAGGCAGTGCTCTTAGAAATTGCTCCGCGGCCGGTGCTTGGCACTTTGTGAGGTTATTATTTAACAGCAGCAGTGAATATAATAGACTAGTAGTGTGGCTAGGTATGTTGAATCTGTATGGCAAAATTAGAAAATGTAACTTACCGTAATAAACCTTAGACTGAGCGCTCTGTCTGTCTGCCCACGTTTGATCACTGTATGTTAGTGTTTTTAATGGCCTTCGTTTTATCGCGCTATAATGGCTCGGATTTTAGTGACGGTGGTATAAAAGACGAATGTAAGAATTCACTCTTAAGCACCCTGCACCCGCCATGCACTGGATACACACCCGTCATCCGAAGACAAACCTTTAAATCACAGTAATGTCCTACAGAGGAGACCTTTACAGTCAAGTAACGCTGTGACAAAGAAACGCTTCTGAGCACAGTATGTTATCCAGTTTTGTCAACCCGAAGGAAAATCTTCAAAGCACATTAATGTTTCTCACATTGTCCAGTAGCACAAAGAAAGAAATTAAAATGTGCACAAGGATCAACGAGGCTGGCTACAGCAACGTCTGGCATGCCGATGTGGCCCCTGTCACCTCAGCTTGTGTAGAGAGACTGGCGCTTGACGTAGCTTTTCTACGATTTGTCCCTAGTTTGTTCAAGCAGCTAGCAGAAATCGCTACGATTCTCAAAAGCGGATTATTCCCATATCTTCCATTCAAATCTAAACATTGAACACTGCACCAAAAAAATGTTTGAATCAGAGAATACTTTCTTTGTAAAATTCTGGACAATGTCTCTGAAAGGGTTTGAAGTTGTGATGGATTGATCGGATACTCAGGACCAGTATCGATGGAACACCTGTCAAATTTTCAGGATTTCACATTGGGAAAAAAATAACTGTAACCCGTTCGATCCGAAACTTAGGCCCACAACTTAGGTTTTCGCAACATGCGGTTGCCTCAGCAATGGCAGCCCGTGCCACGCTGGGAGGGGAGGTATCGGATTGATGACAGTAATGGAGATACTCAGTATTTTCACAATCTTTAACTTACAAATTTAAAAAAAAATACCCAGGCTCCTACTTTGAACATGTACCTTAAATCTTTTGCTTTTGACTTTTACTTTTATTAATAAAACAACTACCGTATTTTCCCGTCTATAAGTCGCAGGAAGTAAAAGTCGCACCAGTGCCCTCTAGCGGCTGGCAGTGTGAAAAAAAAAGAACCCGTAAATTTTCGGTGGTACAGGAGTAGCAGATACTGGTACACAAGCCTAGAGTGCCCTCTAGCGGCTGTCAGCGTGAAAATAACAGAGATGTGAAATTAAATATTTTAATATATAAGTCGCGCTTCAGAATAAGTCGCAAACCCAGCCGAAGGATGAAAAAAAGTGCAACTTATACTCCGGAAAAATACGGTAATAGCATTTTGCGACAGCTGACACTGTAAAGAAAAAGAAGAAGAAAAAAAAAACACCACAACCTCTCTCCTCCTACCCCCACTGCCTACGACTTGCCTTTACCAACAGTCATCTGATTAAGTAACACCAGGCTTCCTCTCAGCCCCTTCAAGAAGCCTCTCAGATTGATATCTGAAAGATTGGTAGTGAGAAGAGGAAGAGGGCTTGTTTTGTATTGCCTGTCATTCCAGCTTCGCTTTTCTGCGTCACCTGCTTCCCGTCATCTGGGACAGAAAGCATACTCATGCTGTTAAAAACCCCCGGCTGGTCTCAGCAGAGCCAGCACTGTTAAATCTACTCCATTCTCAATTACAAACGCACGTTAGAAATTTACCAAAGATGCGGATAAGTATCTCAGATATGTTTCTCTACAGCGTACCCCTCCATAGAGTGTAACATAACAAAGCGTTGGAGTCTGTGTAAACATTGTTTCAATGCATGTTTTAAAATATAGGTGCTGGGACTTAAAAGGGATTAGGGAGCTTTTTTTTAATGTTTTTAATGTAGCCTCAGCCAGTCAGGTGAGGCACTTTAGTGCACTATTTATCTTCAAATGCAAGGCGAGCAACAGCAAGCCGTGCCAGAAGATCCCTGGTTTTTAATGCTTTATGCTTTTTCCAGGGCTCCACAGAACTGGCACTTCTCGAAAGCATTTGTTTGACTTTATCCAGGTCTGGCTAATCAGACTCCCGCTGGCCTCTGATGTTGCTCACTGTGTGTCAGGGAGCAATACATACAAAGTACATCTTTGTGCCTATATTTCTCTATGTAGTTCCAAAGGGGCAACATTTGCATGATTTTGTTTTTTTTTTCTTCAAATAATAGCATGACATATACATCAAGAATCTATAGTATATATATTTATATAGCAAATATGGGATATGTGTTTACATATACATGTTTCTAAGTATATATTAGGGGTTCAAAAATAGTTGCATCAAGGTCATCTGGATGGAGTAGCTTTGTCGTCTTGAAGACCTCTCATCCAAGATGTAACTGTTTTTGGATAAGATGACCTGGATGACTAAGTACCTATACAGATATAGGTATATTAGAGGTGTAGGAAAATATCAATAAACTAAATTATTGCGATATTTTTGTTTCACGATATCGTATCAATATTCTGCAGCACATGCAAATATCCATGTCGTTTTCATGATATTTGATTTTTTGATCAAAAATCTAGATCCCTCTGTTCCAAATTTGAGTAACCTGAGGCATGTAACAGCATTGTGTGTTTACTATGCTGACAGTTTTATGTATCACAATATATATATATCGCAATATATATCGCAGCAATATATATCGCAATATATATATATATATCGCAATATATATCGCAATATATCGCAATATATTGAATTGTTGCCCCTGTATCGTAAGCAAAGCTACATTAGGTTTTTATCGTTTAAAGACTTTTTTGAAGTATGTAAGTATGTAGTAAGTACGCAGAATGTGATTTGCGTTAGTAAAATCTGGTGAATGTGTTCTTCTCTTAGTAAATGCGTAACATCTGGTGAATGTGTTCTTCTCTTAGTATTTTCTGAATCCCTACATTATAAGTAGGACTTGACTTTCCAAGCGTTCACATATCAACCGATCAATATATAAATATACGCGACATAAATAATTGACTGCCTGAACCAGAAAGGTCGTAAAACAATTATGAAAATTAGATTTTCATAAACAGATGTCTGCTGATGCCTTAATGTCCGCTTATCGTTCATTTATCACTTGGCCATTGATTAACTGACATTTCACTACATCATTTTGAGTGCCTGCTTATTATCACTTTTGTCACTGCGACCAAACCAGACAACGTTTTCTACTGTAACCGTAGTGTTCGTTTTTTTTTAAAAAATCTGCCATATCAACATACGCTATCAATCATGAGGAAATTAGCAGAATTAACTCATTACATCTTTTTACTACCACTTTCGAAGCTCTGTTAATTTGTCTAATCCTGTGTCAAATGATTCATGCATGCTAAAGATGCGGCGATGTACTTAATTAAAACTTTTTTTTTTTTTTTTTTTTTTCCTCGCCTGCGGTTTTCATTTTTCCCCTCCTTAGCGGTGCCTGAGATTAACCGTAGCTCTGTGTCTTTCGGCTAGACTAGCATCTCAATTGGATTTTTTTTCTTTTAACCTTATAAGGTTTGTAACTCATCTGATGCCACTTTGAACAGGCATTATTATTATATTTATATATATATATATATGGAGCCTTTGTTTGGTGCTTCATGTACACCAGTGCCAGGAAAGAGCGGGAGCCAACTGGCAGCATGTTTGCAATTAGCAATCTTATTGATAAGTGCTCCATCTGGTTAGAGATGGTAAGCCAACAGCAACAGATTGAATTGTTTTTACAGTCTGTTTAAATACGCCATCATATTTCTTTGCCCTTTAAAGCAGCTTTTCCAGTACAGAGACATTTTATTTTTTGTCCTTTTCATCTCAGAGCTGCACCGTAGGTGGCAACTTTGTTCCGGACAGATATGTGAGAAAGAATCTGATTAAATGTGTGCTTTTAGCACACGCAGCTTAACTATTGTTTTACTTTCAGCGCTGTTGAATCTGACTGCTTTACTGTGAATTAATTCAGGGAAGGATTCTTATGATCTATGTCTAATGAAAAGAAAAATTGTACCTAGATTTTATATCAACCTTTATTTTCAACTAGTGAAAAGGGGCAGAAATGTTTTAAATATGTATTAAATTTTTTTACTCCTGCTGTGTGCATCAACAAAGAAAATTGTCTTGGTAAACACTGTTTACGTTAAAATTGCGACCATTTCGCCAATGTGTTTTTTTTTTTTTGCAAAATTCAGAATAGACATTTGCTGTGATTTTTTGCAATACTGTGTATCAGTGGTACAGTTAAAATAATTATTAATTTAATTGAATTTATTTATAAGTGCAATAATATTTTTGACCATACGTTCAACTTGGTGTTTATTATCTGTAATGATGCGATCCATGGAAAATGCTGTTCCAGGTATTTACGCGCATATAAACCCACCCCCTGATTTGATCTTTTTGATATTTTTTCGGTGTTTTAAATTTGGCTTATACGCGAGTATGTACGGTAACTTTGTGTGACGTGCCGTATCGGGTTGATATCGGTATCGGCAGATACTCCAAAATGCAGTATCGTACATGCAAAAGTTGAATCGAGCCATCCCTAGTTCAGAGTTTGTTTTTTACCAGCCCAAAAGGACTTAGTCTGGCGTTTTCAGCTAGCTGCGTGAACGAGACAAAGATGAAAGTGATGGAATAAAGCTAGTGCATTATTCTAACGTTCACTTGATGTAAGGTTTTCTTTCTTTTTTTTGCAGAGAACCAGAGGACAGAAGAGAAAGAGGATCCTCACATGTGACGAGAAAGAAGAAAAAATCGAGGTTTGTTCCTTTGAGCTGCTCCTTGATTTCACATATACCGGTTAATTGTTGAAATACAAACATGCCATGGAAACAATTACGTGACAGTGTTCTTTTGTTTAAAAAAGGCTAGCTGGTAGATTTTTATTATCGTAAGTAGTTCTTCACATAAACCTTTTAAATGTAGCGCTATTTTAATTTGAGTTGTCTTTTCACCCAAAAAGTCGGAGCTGACAAAGAAAATTAGAACAACTTTCCAACAGGGATGTCCGATACTATCGGCCAGCATAATTATGTAATATCTGTAAGAATCGTTATCGGCTGTTACCTCCGATGTTGATGAAAACCCGATAACGCAATGCTTGGAATCTCTTGTGGGGTACTGAGACGTTTTGGGGAGAAACAGCTGCATATATCAGTATTGGTTGATGTCGGAATCGGAAATTAAGTGTTTGGACAATATCGGCGTATCGGATATTAGCAAAAAGTTAATATCGGACATATCTACTTTCCAAGCAAAAATGTTCGAATTTTTTCTGCAGAATCCTTTTGATGTTCACTTTAGTTTTCTTCTGGTGTCGTTACATTTCATTTTTAGTCCAGCATTGCATTCCTCCTCATGTTATGAACGTTTTTCCAATCTTCTCATCTGTGTTTCCATAGGAACCGCTGCCACGAGAACGCCGCCAACGGCAATCTGCGATGCAGAAAAAACCCAAAGCTGAAGACACCAGGACCGAGTGCACGACGTGCAAAGGGCCAGGAGACAATGAAAACCTAGTCAGGTAAGTTTGTGTGTGTCCGTGTCCGCGTGTGTGTGCGCGCGCGTCTGTCCGCAGACAGCCATATCCTCCTGATGATTAAAGTTCAGTCTTCATTAGTCTCTGTCCGCCTGCTCTGTGCAGAGTGGGGGGCTAAGGGTATCTCCTCTGTAGCCCCTCTATATTGAGCTGCCACATACATTTGCACAGTTCATTAAGGCATAATGAATAGCTCAGTTTATTCTGCTCCTTCCGTGAGATTTCAGGTGTCAGGACTCTAATAAACAGGATTCTTCACTGATATTAAAGTTCTTCAGAGAAGAGTGGAAAAAAAAAAAATCCAGATTACCATGAGAGGAATGTCAGCCTTTTGACATGTGACGAGGCTAATCTCTTAACTTACTTCACGCAGAACTTATTTCCGTTCATTTTTTTTTTTAATTACAGCTCTTTCGGCCGTCCACTTTTTCTTCACTTTCTAAAACTTTTGCACTGTGAACAATTAAATCGACCTTTATCCTTAAGGCCAGCAATGCATGCAACACTGTTCGAGACACAGAACGTTGCGAAAACTCACGGCCGCCCACTGTACCAGGTCGGTGACTTCGATCGTGGAAAAAGTTGCAGTAAACAAACCGGCATTTAAGTCAGGAGACGGACGTCAGAAACAAACATCGCTGCGTGGCGACCATCTTTTTTTTTATTATTATCAATCCAATCCTCATGTCTAATAAAACGAAGCAGTATTTCTTTGCCGAGTCCGTGGACGACGGGGTTTCTGCTCCACTAACAGTGAGTGTGAGAAGCGCAATTCAGTTTGTTTATTGTGGTATCCGTCCACTTTTAAACACAAAAGCAACAACACATCACATCATTTTCCCATATTTTCTTTTGAATTTTACTATTCTTTTTAGCTTTCTGTTTTTTCAAAAGCATTATGTTTTTCGTCTTTGCTTGTTGCTATCAGAGCATTGTAAACACTACAATATTCTTCTTATTATTATTGTTATAATAATAATAATAATAATAATAATAATAATAATATTGTAGACTGGATAAGTGCAACTTGGTCTTTTATTGTATAATGTATTTGATTATTATGATTATTATTATTATTACATACATGTAATACTATTATTATTATTGTTGTTGTAGTTGTAATAATAATTCAACACATTACCCAAAAAAAAAAAACTAAGTTACAACAACTCGGTCGTCCCCAATTTTTTGTGCCCACCACCCCAAAAAAAACAAAAAAAAAACCCAGGACACACACACACCTATTTTGTTTTCAGACTTGTTTATTTCACACATTTCTAATGTAACTGTTTTTACACACTTTAAACTTCATCCGTTTTATGCTAGCACTGCGCTGGGATGCTAAAGCTCCTCTGAGCAGATTGAACAGGGGGCGACAGGGGAAAAAAAAAGGGAATTAAAAATAACGGTCCCTTGTTAAACATTTACAGCATTGGACAATATAATGCCTAACATTTCATTCATTCATTCCATCCATACTCCCCCCCTTGTACCAGTCGAGGGGCGTGCCCCCCACTTTGGGAACCTCTTCACTAATCACCTCCAGCTGCTATAATCCATTTTGTCTCAACAATTTCAACTCTACTGGTAGAACTTTTCTGTAAAAAAATAATATTCATTCCGTTCTAATACAAGACATTTTAATTATATATTTTCTTCTTTTGGCTGCACCCTTCAGTAGTCACCACAGCAGATTATCTCGCTCCATCTCTCCCCATCTCCTCCCTCTTCTACTGTTAAACCAAGCATCTCCATGTCCTCTTTCGCTGCATCCATAAATCTTCACTGGTGTCTTCCTCCTCTCCTCTTGCCTGTCAGCTCCATTTTCGACACTCTTCGTCCGATGTATCCACCGTCTTTACTTTGCCTCTCCAGCACGAGCTCCACACTGATTGATATCAGCTGTCCCTCTCGTCTCCTTTTTTTTTTTTTTTTCTTCTCTCTCTAACCCTGTCCATTCAGATCAATCAGCATCTGCCACTTCTCCGCTTTGCCTTTTGTTCTCAAGGCTAAGTCTTGGCCTCTAAACAATACACGAAAGCAGGACCTCAGTACGATCTAATAAGCCTTTCCCTTTTGATTTTCCTGCTGTCCTTTACACCCTCCGTCGACCCTACTCATTTGAACTCGTCCACCTCTACTACTTCTACTTATTGTAGCTTTATCGTGTGACTTTCAATACTCCTTTCAATTGCTCCTGCTTCCACCTGTGTTCACCACAGAATGCAGCGTCATCTGCGAACATGATCCACGGAGCCTCCTGCCTGACCTCATCTGTCCACCTGTCCATCCCCATAGAGACCTATTTGTCACTTAAACTGCAGATCTTACTGCTGTCCTTAACCCACCCTCAACTACTTCTCTGCCACTCTCTACTTCTTCAAATTTTTGTTGTCCATCATTGCTTTGTTGGCACTTTTCATCGCTACTCCAGTCATCTTCTGGCGCTATTTCCGGTTTTCCTCCTCTGTTTCATTGGCTGTTTGCAAGAAAAGTTTGCAGTTGGGTCGGTAAACATCTCGAGCTTCCCAGTGTCATCCTACAACAAAGTATTAGTACAGCGCAGTACTCGGGGCATGTTGAGAAAAAGAAATAAAATGACAAGATTAAAGTCATACGTTGTGGTTTAAATGAGTTTCGACTAGGGATGACATCATCTGTCCACCTGTCCATCCCCATAGAGACCTATTTGTCACTTAAACTGCAGATCTTACTGCTGTCCTTACTGACCCACCCTCAACTACTTCTCTGCCACTCTCTACTTCTTCATAAAGCACCCGATCTCCTGGTCATTATGTACTTTCTCTAGACACAGTGCAACTCCTTCTGACCTTTACGCTGACGTTTCTCACTGATCCAAACCTCTTGCCTTAGCCTGCCTTGTCAACTCTTTCTCGTATCTTCGTTGTATGGCAGATCGACCGTATAACCGTCAAGTTACGACGACCTCGCACCATTGCTTTTACAAACTCTGTTGTTCCGTTCATCAGTCGTCCGCTAAAGCTCCGGTGTTATTAAGAAAACCTGGTCAAAAAAATCCATCGCACTCTCTCCTAAATGTCTCCGTACCTCTACAGATATGTTATCCGGACCAATCACCTTTCTCCCTCTTAACCCTACCCTTCGTCCTTATAGCCGCCCTCATTTTCTATGTGCTGTTGCTCTGTACTTTTTTTTTTTTTTTTAATAGAGAGAGATCTGATGTTATCTTTTCCTCCATATATTATCTCTCCGGTGCCTCCCTCACTACTATGCTTCTCCGTATAACCTTTCTGTCTTATCAGCACATTTTCCTCACTTACCTGCACATTTCTGTCTTATGTCTTTAGCCAACTATCTTCATCTGATCTAATGTAAAATATTGCAGTACATTTTTTAAATTTTTTTTATTATAGTATTTTTTTTTTTTTTTTTTTACTATGCTACTTGCTTGAACCCCTTACATTTTTCATTTACCTTCTGTCAGTGACATTGGTTTCCATCAACTGGTCTCTGATTGGTAGTTACGGGAGCTCATCGTATTCTGAATTGTGTTTATTTCTACATTTATTTTAAGCTATTATTTAAAAAAACAAACTGACCACCACGGTGATGTCGGATGAGTACCGCTAACACTGCGGTCTAAACGGTGCCTTAGAAGTACGGCCGTTTGACGAAAAAGGGACTAACACTGCAGTCTAAAGAAGTACGGCCGTTTGACGAAAAAGGGGAGTGTTGGGAAGAAAAAAAAAAAAAATGAACATCATGTGGGGGCATCAGTAAAAAAGGACCAGTGCACGTGTTTTCGGTTGTGCTTGTGAGGCATTTATGAAGTTGTAAGGGTTGTCAGTGTCAGGGTGTGAGGTGTGCTGCCCTGACTCTTTCTATCTTTGCATTGCACAGGTTGTGAGAGCCGGGGGCAGCCACCTCACCGGCCGTAAAAACGCGGGGGAGATGACCATTGGCTTAGAGAGGCAAATTGAGGCGTTGGTGAAGATTGGTGCTCGGGTCTGGCTGAAGAATGAGATCGCCACACCGGCCCCAACCACAACCAACGCTGATCCACAGTGGACCGACAACTGAAAAATTGACTGGGAGGTTTCACGAATTATGGGATCCAAACCATAAATGACAACAATATAAATATGTCCAGGTGCATCTATGCAACGGTCTGCTCATAACGTAATATGTTTGGGGTTTTTTTTTTTGATGCGATATTTACATAAGTCTTCAGACCAGAAGGTTTCCAGATTGGTATAAAATGAATTCATCATAGGCGACGGAAAGACGAGGTTAGTTTCTCAGAAGATTCCAATTTGGAGTAGACTAAATTTCTACTTAAAGTTAATATTTCAATGCACAAATTCAAATCCTAAACGCCTTTCTGGTCTGTACCATACACAAGTATTGTTTTAAAAGTAAGCCTAGATTCAAAATGCACTAAAAACGCCTCCGGCTCTGCTCCGGTTTGACCTGCTTCGCTTTCTCAGTGAACTTTTTCTTCACTTGTCAGGGTTGATTTTGGTATACAGGAGCAAGCTATTCATATACGTTCTAAAGAGAGCTGTCTTATCAGTAAACAGATTCCTCTATACTAGTTGTCAGTACCAATTCTATGGATGGATAAAAAAAAAAAAAAAAACGAATACTCTCATTGCTAGTCTACTGTTCTGCACTTCCACCTCCCGATCAAACCTCTCACCGATGCTAATCAGTTCTATTGGATCTGAAGATTCGAAAAATGTGAATAATTCTAACTGCAATTAACCGTGGTTTTTTTTTTTTTTTTTAAGATGTTTGTGTTGTGGTGTATTTTAATAGGTAGGTGAAGGAGCAGTTTTAAGAAATGTCCCCTTTTTTTATAGAACGTCCATACTTTTTTCTAGTAGATCAGTTACGGCAGTCGTTGCTGCCTAAAGGTGTCTGTGATTCCTTGAGATTAGTGTAGTTACTGGTAATAGCACTGAAATTTGAAAGTCCAAGTGTCTGATGTGCCCCTGGGTTTTTTTTTTTTTGGTCTCTTTTTGTCGGTATCTTGAAGTGACAGGTTAAGTTGACGCGTCCTCAGAGAGAAGCCCAGCTTTTTCTTCGCAACCTGGTTTGCCAAGTCGGTGCTGTCAAAACAGCTGCTACATGCTCTGTCTCGGTTCACGACACGTGTCGCATTGTGCTAGGGTTCAATATGCATGCTTTTGGGAAAAGTAATTCAAATACATTTTTCAAATTTTTTTTTTTTTTTGTTGTCTTCGGTGACACAGTTATGCGTGACCCCTTTATCTTACCACTTGTGCTCAGTCACTTTGAATACAGCAGGTCATCTATACAATACTTGCTAACCGTGATCAGTAAAATACAACGTAAACAAACGGTTTGTTCCCCTATACTTTGAATGTCAGGTAGCCGAGTAGTGTCATATATAACGTGTACAGTATTTATTAAACACTTTTCTGTTGTGTTTTCTTTTGTGCATAAATAATTTTTTTTTAATAAACATTTTTCAAGGTCTTTTTAAACTATTTCGATCCGGACCTTGACGATCATAGCGCACTACAAAACATTAACATTTTTCACCGATTTGAAAAGTCTTGCAAACCAACAGACTCGGTCCTGCAAATTTTTTGCCTGATGACTGAACAGGCGCTTAACCCAAAATTTGCGCTTAACCTAAAATTTGCAACCAACATATGGGCACCTGTGCTCCAGCCACGTACATTTCTGTTGTCCATCATTGCTTTGTTGGCACTTTTCATCGCTACTCCAGTCATCTTCTGGCGCTATTTCCGGTTTTCCTCCTCTGTTTCATTGGCTGTTTGCAAGAAAAGTTTGCAGTTGGGTCGGTAAACATCTCGAGCTTCCCAGTGTCATCCTACAACAAAGTATTAGTACAGCGCAGTACTCGGGGCATGTTGAGAAAAATAAATAAAATTACAAGATTAAAGTCAGACATTGTGGTTTAAATGAGGTTTGATTTTTGACTAGGGATGCCGATAATATTGGCCTAATGATATTCTTGGCCCGATGTTAGCATAATTATGTAATACCGGTAAGAATTGTTATCTTTACTCCGATGATTAAAACTTGATTACGCAAAGCCTGGGTCTTGCCAAATCTGCTGGAATCGTTTTTAGGGTCTTGGGACGTTTACCTCAGTTTTGGGGGTAAACAGCTTCATATATCGGAATTCGGAAATTAAGTATTTGGAAAATATCGGACAGCACTAGTTTCGATTTTAAATCTTTTACGCCATCCTAGTGTTAGGGCCAAAAAATGTTATCATGTTTGATTGTCTGCGACTGAAGTTGGACAGCACTAGTTTCAATTTTAAATCTTTTACGCCATCCTAGTATTAGGGCCAAAAAATTTAATCATGTTTGATTGTCTGCGACTGAAGTCCAGACTAGCCATGCTAACTAGCCATGCAAACGGCTTCCAACTAGTAAAGACCAGTTCAGACTTGGTGGAATAGGAAAAATGTAGTGAAAAGCTAGAGGTGTGTCCTCAGCTAAATGCTAGTATCGCTATCCCAGAATATACTGTACGTCAGTACACATATACAGATACAAATGCAGTCTGAATCACACATTCAGATGTGTTGGGCAGTTGCGATCAAAGACCTCTATTAGAGAAAAGGCTGTAGAAACAGATAATACGAAATATATCATCGATAATATGAAATGGATGTAGGCGTTTTTTAGTATATATTTATATTCTGTTCTTTTACTTATATTCAGAAGTACTGTGTTCTGAATCAGACATGCATAACAGGCTGACAAAGTGTTTTTTTTTAAGTATTAAAAATACTGAAATGCATGCAACTCCGTGTAGACTTTGAAAATGTAAAAGCTGAAGAGGTTTTCTTTTGGGTATTGAAATCACATGTAAACTTGATTTGTGGTGTAGTCTCGCGCGACTACTTTTTGTTTGTTTGTTTGTTTGTTTGTTTGTTTGTTGGAATTGCCAAACATTTGTTTACAGACAGGGATTGTAGTTTTTGCTGTTACTTTAATACCGTATGAAGTAAGAGTATGAATGTTGCTGCCTTAGTGTATTTGAAAATGTCTCAAGTCTTCGGCTTGAAGCTCTTGGAAATTAAGCAGAGCTTTAATAAACTCTTGACTTTTTCACCCTATTGCCGCAGTGATAAATGAGTGTCAGCCAGCCAATTAATCGTTGTAAAGGTGCAGTGGTGGCGGGCCGTTTGTGCATGTAATGCCCTCTGTCATGTCTGATTTATCACCTGGGAGGCGGCCCTTCTTGTTGGCAAATGCTGCTTCTCATTCTGCTTAGAGAACACTTCAATCGCTTGGTTCTTGTCAGAATGGAAACGCGTTTAAAATTAGAAGTGGAGACTGAAATGGAACAGTAAGATAAAGGTGAGAACTTAAAGCAAGTCCTTAAAAATATATCACCCTTCTTTGTGTTTGCATAAGTCGATGACAGTGCAGGCAAACTCATCCAGTGTAATACCCAATACATATATGTAAATATATATGTATACATATATAAATATATATACACACATATATAAACTATATATACATATATTTATATATATACTGCATGTATATATGTAAACATATATAAAGATATATACATATATTTATATATGTATGTGTGTATGAATATATAAACCATGTTGCATCTGTTTTGGAAGACTCCAGGCTGTCACATGCACTACATGTACAACTTCCAGTAATATTTATATGCACTTTTAGTGTACATCGCAGATACAGCATTCTCATTAGAACATTGGTTGCATTTTAATAATTGTGACTGACTACAGGACATGAACTACGTACAACGAGAGCTCACCTTATTGTTACTAATAATTCCCTTAATCTCTGATTAATCGGGATCAATCGAGAAAAAACAAAACAAGTTAAGTTATTTAACTAAATATATTGTTTCTAGACAGGGCAAACATACGTTTTAAAACGTTTATATCTAAAACACATCAGCTCTTTTCTCATTTGCCAATTTTGGATTAGAAAATGTATGTCGAACCTTTGACATTGTCAGAATTTTTGGCTAAAGTTCCAATCAAAAATTAGTATTTTTTTTCCCTCACAAAGTGGGAGAAAAAAAAAAGTATTGTAAAAAAATTACAAATACTTTTAGCATCCGGTTGGTCTTTGTTCTATTCACAACTGCACATTTTGCTTTACAGCATCATCGTTGAGTAGCATCTTCATACAATGTAACCAGCTAACCGTGACAAACTGTGGCTGCCCCCATCCCTCATCCATTACCCCTGGCTCTCTGGAGGGGGGGAGGGGGGTGGGGTAAGGGGTGAAGAAGAAGCAGGAAAACCAGAGATTAGCTCAGCTAAGGCCGACTCCTGGATCGGGAATGAATCCGAGGCTGTGGAGTGCAGAAGAAGGGGAACATAGGATAAAGAGAGAGAGAGAGAAAAAAAGGCTAGCTGGGAGGTTCTGTAAGGCAGTAACCTTTCCGATGATGGGTGCATTTCCCATTACTGCTCTGACACTAGATCCAGGGAGATGATTTAATGGCGGCATTTTGTTTTCGCTGACTTCTCTCTTTTTCCCCTCTATTACAATAGAAAACACTGGTACTGTGTGGGCAGTGAGGCCAAGCAGCTGAAATCTATTACTCCCCTGCTTCCTCCCTTTTTATCCCACGGATACACCATTGTCGGCCTGCTTACTGTTACAAGCCCCGGGTACAAGCTCCTATATCCCCTCACTTCAGCTGTTTCGTGAAGTCAATACACAGAAAGAGAGAGTCACAAACCACTGTGGTCTTCTGTATCTTAATTATCCGGTTCTTGACGTTGAAGTTCTTAAAATGTCCCGCGGACATTTCTTGTGGAATATCTCAGTTAGGGGGTGCTGCATAGCAGACCGAGTTTGAATTGAGGTTTCAGGTTTAAGTTCATCCTCGGGAAGAAGACAGAATTGAGATCTGTGCACTCGCTGATGTGGTAGTTGCTGGGTCACTGAGTCCCCCTGCTGGAAGTCATGAGGAACTCAGACAACTCACACAAACTAAGTGAAAATGATACATAATCCTCCCCGCTTCTTCTCTTCCCTTTTCAGCTGTGAATAAGTTGTGTCCAAATGATCTAATATGAGCCGTTACTCTGACTTGGCTTTCTCCATAGGTGCTGCTTCAGCAGGCAGTGCATTACTTCCCATCTTGTAAAACAATGGGTCTCTGATAATGCCGCAACGACCCAACGGTAAATCAAAAACCAGTGGCCTCACAAAGTCCAATAATCCACTCCTTTCTATGGAAAGACACCGGCGCACTCTGTCATGGACGAGAGTCAATGGGCAAGTGCTTTGTGTAATATTGATTACTGTCACATGACCGATCCCAAGGTAATTGCATTGGTCACTTGTGATAAATTTACTGCCTCGTTTCGGATAATAGTTCTCAGCCACCGAGGTTGCCAGAGACAAAAGAAGTGTTTGTTACTACAAAACCACCTTTAATAACTTAATGCAGAACACTTGGCAGGAGGGAGCGGTGCACTGTGGCTGTATCGATTTGATCAGTTATTATGGAAACAAATAAACACGAACCGCTAGCAGTCTGGACTATTTCGTCGTGATTAATCACAGGGTGGCTGTGGATTAATCGCGATTAATCAAGATAAATTGGCACGCTCATTTTCCTTTCTGTGTTTTGCCGGAACGGAAGGTCAGTAATCCAATTGATGGAATTATTATTGTGGAAAAATGACAAAGAAATACATATGTAGTTTCTTTGGCGAAGCTGTTGTCCTCAGAGATATTAATCAGTCTAATGTCCCTTGCAGTCAATGTGACAGCTGTGTCAGTCAGCTGTAGACTTTTTTTTTTTTTTAATTTTTTAATGAATTTGTTTATTTCCGTGCACTTCTTCTTTCTCTATAGCCTGCTATCCTTATGACTTACTTATGACATATTCCTATGACATATTTTTATGACATACTATTCTTCTTATCATCTTATCAATTATTTATTTTTATTTATGTATTTTTGTATCTTGTATGTTTACCGTAGCTTGATTGTTGATTGACTGACCCAAATTGTTTCGCTTTGGATAAGCGTCTGCCAAATGTATTCTAATGAAATCTATTTAATTAATTATTAATTGATAATATAAAATAATAATAATTAAGAAGAAATTTTATATTATTGTTATAAAAATGGATGATTAACCAAGCGAAGGTCAGTGAGCACGACAGAGTCGAGTTGAGAAATGGAGCGCTCATAACTCGATGTTCCCTCATAGCACGAGGAAAATCTGGCAAAAGTCGCTTACTCGTAACTTGGAAAACTCATATCTCGAAGCCCCACTGTATTTTTATACCATCAATTTATACCATCATCTCTATATACACACCACTGCATTATTGTCTACAAATTGAAATTTTTTTTTTTGTTTCTTTTACCTCCAGCTCTGACTTTTGTCTATTGGACAGAGCCACTGTCACTAAACCATACATCATAGCAGGTCTCACTACAGTCTTACAAATCTTCCCTTTCAACTTTGCTCAACTATTCTCCTGTCACAAATCACCTCTGACACTAGTCTCCATCCATTCCAAACTGCCTTCCCTTCACCTCTTTTTGTGCACTGTCCATTAATCTGGATGGTTGACCACGGGTATTTAAACTCATCCATCTTTACTACCTCTACTCCTTGCAACTTTGTCGTTCCAC